CCACAGCAAAGATTGTGCTGATGGACCCTAATTTCTCGTCGGCGAAGCCACCGTTGGCGGCGGCGGCGATGGACATCGAACAGATGCCGGAGAATCCTTACCGTGGTTCTCACCACCGCCGCTCTCACTCCGACACTTCCTTTCGCTTCCCGAACCTCGACGAACTTCTCTTCTTTGACCCTTCAGAGCTCGACCTCTCGATGCTGTCTTCCCCTTCTTCTCCTCCTTCTTGTGGTGCTGCGATGGTTGTCGATTCGTCTGATTCCAAGTTTTCCGATGATGCCGTTCGCCCTAAGCCGGAGCCGATTGTCTCCGGATCGTTCGGTGGTCACTTGCGGAGCTTATCCGTGGACTCTGACTTCTTGCAGAATCTGGACCTCGGAGGAGATAGTGGGGAGATCGATTCTTTGGCGACAAAAACTCCAGTGAGTGAACATTGGCCAGTTCGTCATCGACATAGCCTGTCCATGGATGGTTCTTCGTCGTCGTTGGAGGCGAATTCAAGCCTAGCGATTGATGGAGTGAAGAAGGCGATGGACCCGGAGAGACTTGCGGAGCTAGCCCTAATTGACCCGAAAAGGGCTAAAAGGTTTAACATCCACTTCCTTTTTCTGTGTAATTTGACTGAACTTGAAATTGATAACCTGAATCAATGGATTTTGAATGTAGGATTCTTGCAAACAGACAATCTGCTGCTCGATCGAAAGAGAGGAAGATGCGGTACGCGAATGAGCTGGAGAGAAAGGTTCAGACACTGCAGTCTGAAGCTACCACTCTGTCTGCGCAGGTGACGATTCTTCAGGTATGAATTCCATTGCACATTCATAGAGAATTGGATGTTTTGTTGTACAGAAACCTGAATTGATTAGCTTGGTTATGAAATGTTTAGAAATAAGATCAATATTGCTGCTCTAGTTGAAGAGATTTCTTGGAGAAAAAATTCAGGCTAGAAGTGAGTTTGAGGTGTCGCATGAAAATGGAACAATAGTGTTACAACCCAAACCCACCCCTGGCAGATATTGTCCTCTTTGGGCTTTTCCTTCAAGGTTTTTAAAACGCGTCTACTAGGGAGAGATCTCCACACCCTTATAAGAAATGTTTTGTTCACCTCTCTAATCGAGGTGGGATTTCACAATCCATCCCCCTTAGGGCCTAGCGTCCTCATTGGCACATCGCCCAGTGTTTGGCTCTGATACCATTTGTAACAAACTCAGACCCACTGCTAGTAGATATTGTCCTCTTTGGGCTTCCCTCAAGGTTCTTAAAATGCGTCTACTAGAGAGAGGTTTCCACACCCTTATAAGAAATGGTTTGTTTCCCTCTCCAACCGATGTGTGATCTCACAAACAGCTCATTTTATAGGCAGAGACCTCTCATGCATGTTATGTCAGTTCAAAAGTTGAAGAAATGGACTGATAAAATGCAATAAAGTTGAGATATCTTCTTGGATTCCTGGAGATTCATGAGGTTAGATCATGTTAAAGCATCACTCACTCTAAAAGCTTAACTTTATAGATAATGATTTTGTCTTTCATATATAGTTTTAACACTGACCTCAACTGTGGGTTTGGAAAATTAGATTGGTGGATAGATTTCTTAGGATATTATGTTATGGTAGAAGGAGAAGTAGATTTAAATCTACAACTTATGAAGGAAGCTTCTTGTGCTTGAGGATGCTTGACTTGCAAGGATTTGAACAAAGGACTCCGGAATGTTGATTTACTTTGCAATATAAAATTTTAAATTTTGTAGATCGGATACGTAGATTTAATCTTCTATGCATATTCTTAACACTTATGATAAAATCCTCTATGAGACCCCACATCGGTTGAAGAGGGGAACAAAGCATTCTTTATAAGAACGTGGAAACCTCTCCCTATAAGACACGTATGAAAACCGTGCGGCTAACGGCAATATATAACAGGTCAAAACGGACAATATCTGTTAGCGGCGGATTTGAGCTACTACAAATGGTATTAGAGCCAGACACCCCGGGTAGTGTGTCAGCGAGGACGCTGGGATTTGTGGATTATGAGGTCCCACATCGGTTGGAGAGGGGAACAAAACATTCCTTGTAAGGGTGTGGAAACTTCTCCCTATAAGTAACGGGTCAAAGATGACAATATTTGTTAATGGTGAGCTTGGGTTGTTACAGAACCGGATAGAAATTCTGGTTTCTTCAATTAACTATTCAATGCAAGTTCTGGATCAATGGCATCCATAATGTGAACTTCGTCATGACACACCATCGTGCTACCTATTTAAAACTTCAAATCATACTATTGTGAGATTCCACCTCGATTGGAGAGGAGAATGAATGCCCACCGAGACGCTGGGCCCCGAAGCATTCTTTATAAAGGTGTGGAAACTTCTCCCTAAGAGAAAACCCGAAAGAGGATAATATTCACTTTTAACTTTTGAAAGTTTTTTCCCTTTTGTAAATTGCATTCATCAATGAAATTCTGGTTTCTTATAATAATCATAATTAAGAAAAAAACTCTTATATGATGAATTTCGTGTTATGCAGAGAGATACTTCTGGATTAACTGTCGAAAATAAGGAACTCAAACTTCGGTTACAGGCTATGGAGCAACAAGCACAGCTTCGAGATGGTATGCAATGTTGCAACCGCCTTTCTATCTCGCCTTTCGCTTCTATTATAGCACTTTATAGTATGAAAAGATTACAAACAAGCAAAAGAAAGAAGGAAAATATTGATGGTTCTAGAGTAGTTTAGCTGGATGTGTTGTTTCTTCTAGTATTCTTTCAGTTAGAGGGTAGGTTCATTCCACACACACAAGGATTCATATGATTCTTTTCCATGGTTCACAGCTTTGAGTGAAGCTTTGAAGGAAGAAGTTCAACGGCTTAGAATAGCTGCAAGCCAGGTTGCATCAGTCAATGGAAATCCCTTCAACCGACCTCCGCAATATCCATCGCCCCGTTCACCTCTACACCATTTTAGTAGCTCGCACGCCCAGCAACCGGGTCAACAGCAGCAGCCACCGTCCATCCTGGCCATAAACCAGCAGCAATCAGATCCGAAATGGACAAACTCATCTCAGCTTCACAGTCATAGTCCGGATGGCCAAGCAAAACCTTAGAACATGTCTGTACATATAATATCATCAAGCAAAAGAGGGTAATGGTTCTTTACAATAATTTTCTTGTACATTATTCATATATACATCTTCTATGCATGAGAAGTTCGTCGACGACCTATCACCGTTACAGATGTTGTATTTGTAGAATTGCTTTGAGGTACAATTGGACGATCTCATACACAACGGTGGCTCGTGTTCACCGTAAGTTCTACTAGTGCCCCTTTCTTCATGGCATTGTATTCCATTGTAATGTTGATGTTACTGTTGTTGCTTGGTTTCTGTATGAAGAATAAACTTATTGTTGCTCATTTAATTATGCGTCCATATGAAGAAGGATGACAGAACTGAATTTTTACCCAAAAAAGAGTTGATAACAAGATGATTGCCAGAATAATCATATTGAGCGGAATAATATCTTGCTCGAGATAATGGATTGAATGAGATATAAGAATCCCGAAGATAAGAGTTAAATTACAAATTTAATCTTTGGACTTTGAGATTTGTGTCTAACTTAATTTTTTCAAATTTTTAATTTTGTATTCAATAGATCGTATGTTGAGCTTGAAGCTGTGCTACACCGACATGCATATTCTTGGGCATGTCCAAATAAGCTTGTTCGAGGATGAAAGTCTTATATTAGCTATTTAGGAAATGATCATGGGTTTATAATTAGGAATACTCTCTCCATTGGTGTGAGGCCTTTTGGGGAAGTCCAAAGCAAAGCCTTAAGAGCTTATACTCAAAGTGGACAATTTCATACCATTGTGGAGGGTCGTGTTCGTCTAACATGGTATCAGAGCCATGCCCTAAACTTAGTCGTATCAATAGATTGGTAAATCCTCAAACATCGAACAAAGGACTCCAAAAGAAAAGGAGTCAAGCTTCCTTGAAGGTAGTAAAAAATGACTAAGACTCCAACGGAGTCGAGCTTCGATTAAGGGGAGGCGCTCTTTGTTCTAGGGGAGGTGTTGGATGATGAAAGTCCTACATCGGCTAATTTAGGAAATGATCATGGGTTTATAATCAAGGAATACTCTCTCCATTAGTGTGAGAGTTTATGCTCAAAGTGGACAATATCACAATATCATACCATTGTGGAGAGTCGTGTTCGTCTAACAGAGCTTGCTTATGGCTAACCTTGCAGTTCAAATCGATTTCGATTCAACTCAACTCTTACTGTTCCTCCATAGTATCATGTTCCTATCAAGTATAACTTAGATAATCAAGAGTGATGTAGTAATTTAACCTAATCGTGGATCTCTATAATGCTCACAATTCAAACAATTTTTACATAATAAACATTTTAAAGCATCAAAAATCGCGCATACGGCCTATTTCTACAACTATCATATTTTTCAAAAGTGAATTCCATCTTAAATCATTTGCATAATCAATATCTACATCATATGAGGGTTAATTTTCAAGCTAGGGTAAATGATGCAAAATCTGTCAAATGAATTCTATAGGATCGAACCGACTAGTCCAATCGAACCAAATCGAATCGATCACCTCTCACCTCGAGCTTTAGTTAGCCACATGTCCGATGACTTTCCTCATTTCCAAACTTTCAAATACAACGTGGAATCATCGTTCTTACCTAAACTCTAAGCATTATCTCATTTGTTTGTCCTTAACAGCTCTCGACGTCTTCACCAAAAGTTGCAGAGCTATCGAACATAAATGTAATAACCTAAAAATCAAACAAAACTATGAACATTCGGGAGAAAAATTGACCAAAAACCAAGAAACTTCAAAAAAAAATTAAAATATTAATGATAAAAATAAATGAAATTTAGAAAAAATATTAATATACTTAATACTAAACAATTATATTTTATTTATTTTAATTACCAATTTCATAATTTATTTATGTATTTATTTATTAAACATTAATAGTGAAATCTTGCTCGTCTTTCCCACAGTCTCTCTTGTTCCACAGCGAAGAAGGAAAAACACTCTTTTCTCTCTCTATCGCTCTCTTTGGCTTTCGAAGATCGTCAAACTGTAATCAAGAACAAAAGTAAGTCCTCCTTTGGAATTCATTCACTATTTCTTGCCTTTTTTAATTTTTTCTTTCTATTAGCTTAGGGATTCGTGTTGCACTCTGGCAGAACATTCATCAATGTTGCTTGATTTCGCACTTGTTTTCCAGGCGATTTTTCACGCACCAAATGTTGATCGGCTCTTTTTTCTTCCTATTAAACTAAGGAATTCATTAGTTTATTTCTATAAAACAGAAATTCAGTATTTCGACAGTCTCTAAACATGCAGCCAGGGTTTCGATTTCGAAATTTTGGTGGTTGAAGTTTCATGGTATTGGATGAAAGACCCACGTCGGCTAATTTAGGGAATGATCATGAGTTTATAATCAAGGAATACTGATCTCTTGGGACTCAGCTAATTTAGGGAATGATCATGAGTTTATAATCAAGGAATACTATCTCTATTGGGATGAGGCCTTTTGGGGAAGCTCAAAGCAAAGCCATGAGGGCTTATGCTCAAAGTGGACAATATTATACAATTGTGGAGAGTCGTGTTCATCTAACACATTGGGTTCTTTTCTTAGGATGAAAAAAGCAACTAGTGCAAAATTTGCAGTCGAGGGGGAATGATCGGGAATTTTTGTGCTGTCATCAGTTGTTGATCAACAATTTTTTGTTTTGTAGTGATTGATTCCGGTTGTTTTCCTTGTTTTGTCATTCTATTATCAATTTTTGTTGTATAGTGACATGTAGATGGATGTATCATGATGTCTGGCTTCGTTTCCTTGAATGCTTAGTTAATGATGTATAATTCTGCCGCTTTTGATTAACCATTCTTATAATGATTTGCTTATTTAGATGGACAACAGCAGTGAAGAAGAGTCGGATTTTAGTGAATCAGAGATCAATGACTACGTGGATAAACCATATGAGCAGTTGAGGACTGGGAGGCTTGTTGTAAAAACAGCAAATGGAATTCTTCGATGCCCGTTCTGTATGGGCAAGAAGAAACAAGACTACAAATATAAGGATTTACTCCAGCATGCTTCTGGAGTGAGTAAAGGTTCTAAAAACAGGAATGCTAAACAGAAGGCGAACCATCTTGCTTTAGCAAAATTTCTGCAGAATGAGCTAGCTTCTGAAGCAGACCAAGCACCGCGCCCAGCTGCACCGACTCCTATCAGTCAGGATTCTGAAAAAGAGCTTTATGTATGGCCTTGGATGGGTGTCATCGTCAATATATTGGTAGGGGAGGACCGAAAGTCGGTCTGTGATTCAGGATATTGGATGAAAAAGTTTGCTAAATATAGACCCTTAAATGTTTATATTTTTTGGAATGATAATGAACCAAGAGCTCAGGCAATAGTTGAATTCAACAATGATTGGAATGGTTTTGTAAATGCAACGGACTTCGAAAAATTGTTTGAGACCAACAATCATAGTAAAAAGAATTGGAAAGCCGAAACAAATTTGAGCTTGGATATTTTTGGTTGGTGCGCACGGGCTGATGATTATAATTCAAATGAGCCGATAGGAGAGTTTCTTCGACAAAGAGGGAAATTGAGGACTGTCTCAGACATTGTGAATGAAGCAACTCAAAGTAGAAATACTGTTGTGGAGAATCTGACCCATGAAATTGATTTGACTAATGAAAATTTGGATGAACTGCAATACAAGTACAATGAGAAGACAATGTCTTTAAGTAGGATGCTTGAAGAGAAAGACCAGCTTCACCATGCTTTTGTTGAAGGTTGTTCTTTTTTGTTTGTGTGCGGGAGCATATATGCATGAATGTTTAGCTCATATTCTCGTATATTTTGCTCGAATATACTATAACCCTAATATGCAAACAATGGTATGAAGGCATATTCAGTTTCCGTAATTAAAATTGCAACGGATCATCTCTAAACCACCCTCATAAAGATGATGACTGTGCTCAACATTTACTATCTCCCTAGTGTGTATTTATATTGCATCACTAATATGCTATTTGATGTTTATGATTTGTCTTATTTTGTTCAGAAACTAGAAAGACACAAAGACTTGCACGTGATAATGTTAGAAGAATATTAGAAGAACAAGAAAAACTGCACCAAGAATTGGAGACGAAGAAAAAAAAACTTGATTCCTGGAGTAAGCAATTGAACAAACGTGAAGCATTGACTGAAATCGAGAGACAAAAGCTTGATGAAGAGAAGAAAAAGGTGATATGAGGCATCCTGTGTTCACTTTAAGAAAATTGAAAAATCACTTGCTTTTCCTGCAGTTTCTATGTTCGTATCATCCTCGTTGCCAACTTTACGTCTTTACCCTATTATTGTTTACTTCATATTTCATACAATGTTCTCTTACATTTAAGATGTGGGGTCTAGTAAGCATAAAAAAGCTTAAACGTATATCTATTTTATGATTAAAGATGTCATGGTTTATAATCATTTTCATTTTTTTCTTGTCCTAGAATGATATGAGGAACAATTCGCTCCAATTAGCTTCTTTGGAACAGAGAAGGGCTGATGAAAATGTTTTACGCCTTGTTGAAGAGCAGAAGGTTTGTTTATTGTTAGTGATTCTAATGCATTTGGTGTAACGGTATGTATTACATTAGTTTCTGTTTTATTTGCCCATTTAGAAGCAATGATTTGATAACTTTTATCATCCAGAGAGAAAAAGAAGAGGCATTAAGCAAGATTCTTCAGTTAGAAAAGCAGCTGGATGCCAAGCAGAAGCTGGAAATGGAAATTCAAGAATTGAAAGGGAAACTACAGGTCATGAAGCATCTTGAGGATCAAGATGATGTAGGAGTGCAACAGAAGATGAAAGAAATGGATGATGATTTGAATCAAAAGGTTGAAGATTTGAATGATTTGCATGAGTTGTATCGAACTCTAGTTGCTAAGGAGCGTGAAAGCAATGATGAGTTACAAGACGCCCGTAAAGAATTAATAAGTGTAATGTTCTTTTCCTATTCTCTACTTTCTACATCCTAAACCTTACTAAGTTGCCATGGCCAAACACTAGGAAAGAAAGACCCTTCTATTACTTATGATTTTCTCTTGGTTCTCCAATTTGTTCGTAATAGAAAGAAAAGATATATAACATACAATTATGATGACATATACTACTTTCTCATCAACCAATGATTTTTTCTGTGCAGGGATTGCAAGATCAATCGTCAAATGCCCGTGTTAATATTGGAATAAAGAGAATGGGGGATATTGATATTAAACCGTTCCAGAATACTTGCAAACAGAAATTTTCTCCGGATGAGGCAATGATCCAAGCCTCCACTTTATGCTCCTTGTGGCAGGATAATTTGACTGATCCAAATTGGCATCCGTTTAAAGTTGTTACTACCGACGGGGATTCCCAGGTAACCTTAATGTCTTTCTCATCATCCGTGAAGAAGTGACCTATATCTCTTTTAGTGGCTAAAAACTAGTTGGAGAGCTTGTATAGTTTGGGGAATGGTATGGAAAGAACGAGAAGAAAATACAGTAAGATACTCCCAAGTAACTTGAAATAGTTAGACGCACCTCTTTTCTCCATATTCAAGACTAAACCGCCACACTTTGGCTCCTTCCCCTAATGCACTATCGCACTAGTTATAACAAATAGGCTCTTAACAGACTTTCAATAAACTGCCTTTCTAACTACCATATTACCCCTTGCTGTCTAGTCCTATCAGATTGAGGCTAGTATTTCAATATAGCAGATGGATGCTGAATCCAAACTTCCCACAAACTTGCCACTTGAAGAAAACAGGCCATGTCTTTCTGCTGAAACGACAATATATAATAAACACGATTTGTATTTTACACACTTTATAAACAAATAACATTGATGACTTGAAGCCCAAAGAGGATGTCTACATTGACTTCTTTCCATTGTGTAATGACTCTGGAGACAAGCTATCCAATGAATACTTTTACCCTTTCAGCACATGTTTCTTTCGATTTTATTTTGTGGGCATCGTTCACTAGGCCTTTTTGTAATTATGAGTAAGTATGAGCTTGATTTTATTCTTTTATATTAAAGTCAATTTTTGTAGCTAGCGGAACTTCCATTTTTTCCTTGTGTTTGGCTAGTTTTTTTTTTTTTGTGTGTGTGTTGTGTGCGCCGCACCCTTGTGTATTCATTCTTTTTTTTTTTTTTTTTT